GGTTTAAAGTGTAAAAATAATAATAAATGTGAAAATTTGCTTTATAATTTAAATTATATAAATTTGCAATGAATTCATTTGGCAAAATTCTTACTGTATGTTATCTGATGATTGTGATATTTTAGTGGTGAATGATCAGAGCTCCGTTTTTATGTTTTATTTGTTTGGTCAGATGCTGTGAAAAGACGATGGAGGTGATGAGGAGCTCCCAAGAAGCTCTGCTGACAATCGTAGAGGTAGAGAAGACCCTTGAACACAGACACACATCCCCTCTGCTGATCTTCAGTTCCTTTAACGAGTTCTTCCTGTTGTATGTGTTGTGTAGGTGCTGCTGTACGATCCTCTGTTCGACTGGACCATGAACCCCCTGAAGGCCTTCAACCTGCAGCACGACGAGCAGCAGGAGCTCAACGCCACCCTGAACTCCACCATGGGAGCAGATGACCTCGACAGCCACAGGAAGTCCAGGTGATGGAGCAGACCAGACTATTGGAACCAGATTTTAATTCTTTCTAATAACAAAGACACTTTTTTTTCATCTGCCGTCCTGCAGTGACAGTCAGAGCTTCAACAAGGTGGCAGAACGGGTGCTGCTGCGGCTGCAAGAGAAGCTGAAGGGGGTGGAGGAAGGGGCRGTCCTTAGTGTCGGGGGGCAGGTCAACCTGCTCATTCAGCAAGCCATGGACCCCAAAAACCTGAGCAGACTCTTCCCGGGATGGCAGGCCTGGGTGTGAACCTGAGGACTGTTCTTTGGATGCTCTCTGCCAGTTTGTGCACTTTAACCAGAGACTGAGARTAAAACGGTAGATTCTGAACATTTTAAAGTGCAGGACCAGCAGCTGTGAGCAGCTACATGGCAACATTTTGTTATTGAAGCAGAACCAAAGGTTGTCCAAACTTTTATGTTTTTATACCATGTGTTATTTTCATGTTGTGTAGGGTTTTCTCCTCACTTTWGCTTTTGTTTTTTATTAGTTCACTGAATGTTTCTTTATTGTATGAGCCACAATGTGTCTAAAAAAGTGAGAACTTAACTACTTTATACTAAGTGGATTTTTTTAATCTGCTGCTCTATAAAATATATGCACCATTAAAATATATAAGAAAAAATTAGATACAAGTTTTTTTTTCATTAGTTTTGATAAAGAAATGTGAAAGTTCAGTTGTAATGTGTTATTAGTATAACTTGTATTTGGTTTTCCATTAAATTCTCATTTCGACACACCCTGGATGGAGACATCTGAAATGTGCAGCAACCTGTGAAGGTGATTCTTCTGTTCACTTTGGTGATTCTAATGAAAATCAATGTCTGTGTAGTTCTGAAGCTTTAAAAATGTAGCTAACATGATCTTAAACAAAACAAAATATAAGCACAAAAAGCTTTTTAAACTCGCACACAATAGGCTTTTGTTACAATATGACTCCCGCTTACGCTTCGCGTGCGGGGGTCATAATGATGACAGAAACATAAGCAGTTGAGGGGAGAGCGAAGACAGAGAGGGGGATGGAGGGGGGTGGGAGTTCTCTAAAGATGTTGGGGGCAGAGTTTGGCCCAAGGTGTTGGTGTATTGAACAATTTTTTTCAGTGAAGAATGACAGGAGGGAGTTACAGCAGTCAGTAGAAAGCAAGTGAGGAGGAAGAGAGTTCGGAGATGAAACTGTGCAGTTAAGGAGAGAGAAAAAGAGTGTGTTGCCTACATTGGAACTGATGATGTCAGTGAAGTAGGTAGATTTGGCCTGAATGATACTTTCTTTGTACTGTATGTAGGGTGTGGTTTATGTACATCTCTTTGTGAACTAAGTCCTGATTTCTTGTAGAGTCGCTCTAGTCTGCGACCTTGTGTTTTCATGGAGCAGAGTTCTGAGGTGAACCAGGGAGCAGAAGTGGAGAAGGAAACAGAACGGGTTTTAAGAGGAGCAAGAGAGTCGAGGATGTTGGTGAGACCATTGTTGTAGGTGGAGACTAGGTCATCTAGGTTACTCGAGTTAAAGATGGAGAAATTGTTATTAATCTGAGAAAGGAGAGCTTCCTGGTTGATGTTTTTGATGTTACGAAGCTGAATAGTGCGTTGTGTTCTGAAAGAAGATAATTTTAAATTGACGCTGAATTTAAATTAAGGGTAGGGTGCCTTCCCCGGGTTGGGGAGGAGGTCTTGCCCCAAGTTTAAGTATCTCTGGATCTTGTTCACGAATGAGGAAAGAATGGAGCGGGAGATCGACAGGCGGATTGGTGCTGAATCTGCAGAGATGCTGTACCAGTGTGTGTTATGGTGAAGCTACCTCCATCTATGGTCACGAGCTTTGAGTAGTGACCAAAAGAATCAGATCRAAGATACAAGTGGCCAAAATGAATTTCCTTCACAGGGTGTCTGGGCTCTCCCTTAGAGTGAGAAGTTGGTCATCCAGGAGGGACTCAGAGTAGAGCCGCTGCTCCTCCACCTCAAGAGGAGCCAGTTGAGGTGGCTCGGGCATCTGGTTAGGATGCCTCCTGGACRCCTCCCTGGTGAGGTGTTCCGGGCACGTCCCACTGGGAGGAGACCCAGAGGAAGACCCAGGACACGCTGGAGGGACTACGTTTCTCAGCTGGCCGGGCTGGACGAGCTGGTCCAAGAGGCTGGGGAGAGAGAATTCTGGGTGTCTCTGCTTAGGCAGCTGCCCCCGCAACCTGACCYCGGATAAGCAGAAGAAAACAGACGGGCAGACGGATTAATTAGATTTAGAAAAATTTACAAATATCCGAGTTTTGCTTTTCTTCATTGTTAGTTAGGATTTGCCTCTTAAAGGAAAACATATCCCCTGCTGTCTTTCATACCACAGTTTTAAACTATAATCAGCTTGTATAGAAAACTTGTGACTAAGCTGAAAACATTTCACATAAACCTGAAAAGTTTTTCAGGATCTAACATGAGCTTGCATTGTGACTCCCAGTCGCTATGTCACCAAATTTTAGCAAAATATCTGTAAAACTGACTGAATCATGGTCATTTTTGTGTTTTCTAAAGTCAGCTGTCTGTGGCAGCCATCTTGAATCAGGCTGGCTTCAATCTGTTGTAAAGAAACATCCAGTGATTATTTCTTGAAAGTTCCATTAAAATCTGTCCAGTGATTCATGAGACATTTTGCYAACAGACAATTAAACAGCAACTTACAACACATCACCCACCTTTCTTTAGCAAAAAATAATAAATAAAAACCCACATACAGTTGCATGAAAAAAGTATGTGAACTCTTTGGGATTTCTTGGATTTCTGCATAAATTGGTCATCAAATGTGTTCTGATCTTCATTAAAGACACAGCAATAGACAAGCCCAGTCTGCTGAAACTTATACCACTCAAAAATTTATATGTTTGCATGGTTTAATTGAACACAACATGTAAACATTCACAGTGCACGGTGGATAAAATATGTGAACCTTTGGATTTAATAACTGGTTGACCCTCCTTTGGCAGCAATAACCTCAACCAAATGTTTCCTGCAGTTGAAACGGTCAGGAGGAATTTTGGACCATTCCTCCTCACAAAACTGTTTCAGTTCAGCAATATTCTTGGGATATCTGGTGTGAATCGCWCTCTTGAGGTCATGCCACAGCATCTCACTTGGGTTGAGATCAGGACTCTGACTGGGCCACTCCAGAAGGTGTATTTTTTTCTGTTGAAGCCATTCAGTTGTTGATTTGAGACGTTGTCCTGTTGCATCATCCATCCTCTGTTGAGCTTCAGTTGGCGGACAGATGGTCTTAATATTTCCTGCAAAATGTCTTACTAAACTTGTGAATTCATTTTTCCGTTGATGACGGCAATCTGTGCAGGTCCTGAGGCAGCAAAGCAGCCCCAAATCATGATGTCCCCTCCACCATATTTCATAGTAGGGATGAAGTTTTGACGATGTTGTGCTGTGACTTTTATCTCCACACATAGCGTTTTGTATTCCTTCCAAACAACTYAAYTTTGGTTTTATTTGTCCACAGGATATTTTGCCAGTAGTGCTGTGGAACAACCAGGTGCTCTGTCGCAAACTTCARACATGCAGCAATGGTTTTAATGGACAGCAGTGACTTCTTCCGTGGTGTCCTCCCATGAACTCCATTCTTGTGTAATGTTTAACGTGTTGTAGATTTGTCTACAAAAGTGTTAGCATGTTCCCGATTTCTGTAAGTCTTTAGCTGACACTCTAGGATTCTTCCTCACCTCATTGAACATTCWGCGCTTTGCTCTTGCAGCCATCTTTACAGGACAGGCCACACCTAGGGAGAGCAGCAACAGTGCTGAACTTTCTCCATTTGTAGACCGTCTGTCTTACTGTGGACACATCAAGGCTTTCAGAGATACTTTTGTAACCCTTTCCAGCTTTATGCAAGTCCACACTCCTTGAACGTAGGTCTTCTGAGAGCTCTTTTGTGCGAGGCTTGATTCACATCAAGCAATGCTCCTTAAGAACAGCAAACTCAACTCTGGTGGTTTTTTTTTTATAGGGCAGGGCACATCCAATCTCATCACATTGATTGAACTCCAGGTTGRCTGACACCTGGCTCCAATTAGTTCTTACAAAAGTCATTTGCCTAGGGGTTCACATACTTTTTCCACCCTGCACTGTGAATGTCTACATGTTGTGTTCAATAAAACCATGCAAACATATATTTTTGTGTGGTATAAGTTTAAGCAGACTGTGTTTGTCTATTGTTGTGACTTAAATGGAGATCAGAATTTCAGAACACATTTAATGATCAGTTTAAGCAGAAATCCAAGAAATCCCATAGGGTTCACATACTTTTCATGCAACTGTATGTCCGTCTGTCTGTTTTCTTCCAATTATCTGGGGTCGGGTCGCAGGGGCAGCAGCCTAAGCAGAGAAACCCAGACTTCCCTCTCCCCAGCCACTTGGACCAGCTCATCTGGGGGAATCCAAAGGTGTTCCCAGGCCAGCTGAGAAACATAGTCCCTCCAGTGTGTCCTGGGTCTTCTCCCAGTGGGACATGCCTTGAACAACTCACCAGGGAGGCATCCAGGAGGCATCCTAACCAGATGCCTGAGCCACCTCAACTGGCTCCTCTCGACGTGGAGGAGCAGTGGCTYTACTCTGAGTCCCTCCCGGATGACTGAGCTTCTCACCCTATCTCTAAGGGAGAGCCCAGACACCCTGCAGAGGAAACTCATTTTGGCCGGTTGTATCTGCGATCTCGTTCTTTCAGTCACTACCCAAAGCTCGTGACCATAGATGAGGGTAGGAACGTAGWCCGATTGGTAAACCGAGAGCTGAGCCAGAAGGCGAAGCTCTCGCTTCACCACAACAGACCGGTACAGCACCCACATCACTGCAGACGCAGCGCCAATCCACCTGTCAATCTCCCGCTCCATTCTTCCCTCATTCGTAAACAAGACCTTGAGATACTTAAACTCCTCCACTTGGGGCAGGACCTCCTCCCCGACCCCGAGGCAGCACRCTACCGGTTTCCGGCTCAAGACCATGGTCTCAGATTTGGAGGCACTGATCCTCAYCCCGGCCGCTTCACACTCGGCTGTGAACCGCTCCAGTGAGAGCTGGAGATCACAATCTTATGAAGCCAATAGGACCACATCATCAGCAAAAAGCAGAGATATGATCCTAAGGTCACCAAAAAGGATCCCCTCAACACCTCGGCTGCGCCTAGAAATTCTGTCCATAAAAGTTATGAACAGAATCAGTGACAAAGGGCAACATTGGTGGAGTCCAATTCTCACCAGAAACGAGTCCAACTTACTACCGGCAATGTGGACCAAGCTCTGGCACTGGTCGTACAGGTACCTAACAGCCCGTATCAACGGGCCTGGTACCCCATACTCCTGGAGTACCCCCCACAGGATTCCCCGAGGGACACGATCGAACGCCTTCTCTAAGTCCACAAAACACATGTAGACTGGTTGGGAGAACTCCCATCCACCCTCCAGGACCCTGCTGAGGGTGTCCGCTGTTCCACGACCAGGACGAAAACCACACTGCTCTTCCTGAATCCGAGATTCGACTATCCGACGGACCGTCCTCTCCAGGACCCCTGAATAGACCTTACTAGGGAGGCTCAGAAACTGTATGTATTTTTCYAATATATTTTAATGGTGCAGTATATTTTTTAGAGCAGCAGAAAAAAATCAATTTAGTATAAAATAGTTGATGAGTTCTCACTTTTATAGACATTTTGTGGCTTATACAATAAAGAAACTACTGTCAACAAATTGTTGCCATGTAGCTGCTCACAGCTGCTGGTCCTGCACTAAYGTTCAGATTCTACAGTTTTATTCTCAGTCTCAGGTTAAAGTGCACACACACTGCACAGTATGCTGTCATGATCTGTTACTGACTTGAAAACAAGTGAAAGAAAAACCTTATCACAACCTTAAACAAGCTGCCTTCATTTTCAATAGAACCACTAGATGGTAGCAAAGTTCTGCACTTCTTTTTCTGAACAGAAACATCAGCAGGTTTTTATTCACCAGACATTTGTATTGAATTAAACTAAAAGTCCACACATTGAAATAAAACATGGTCTCAGAATTATGTCCTCTTATTATGAACAAAATCTGATGTTTGACAAAAACAAAACTTTTCACTTCACAGACCTGTGTTGTTTTAATGGAAAATAGGTTTTGTAAACAGTACTTTACTTTCGAATTATATTGTTTTGATCTCAAATCATCTGTATTATGCAAATATTTCTGTATTATCTTTTGAAAAATTATATGTGATTAAGTGTGATTTGAGTTGTTAGTCCATTTTCTCACAGGCACATCTTTGTAGGATTTAAAACAATTTGATAACTTTGAATTCTGCTAATATTTTGTTCATCAGCATGGCTCAAACGTCTCCACTTAATTTAACTTTTACATTATTTTTTTCTCCAAGTTTCTAGGCCACAGAACTCAGTAAAGGATTAAAAGTCTCAGATAATGGTTATCACTGATCCAAGTCATCCCTCTGGTGATACACTTGATTTGTCTTCCAGCATGGTGGAGAAACATCCTGTTTGATGATGTATTATAAACACAGGACTGATGTTGAAGCAGTCAACTGTAGAATTTATACTTTCAGTACTAACCTTAACTATACTGTWATATGAATAACCATATTACATTATCATAAAGTTAGTAATACAATACATAATACTTCCTGACACAACATATTTGTAGAACAAACAACAGGTTAGCATCTAGCTAGGCAGTGATGGTGCCTCACAAACATTTAAAAACAATAGCTCCAAGATCCAGAATTAAAAAGATGATTTATCTTGTTTAAACTCTCTGGAGACTAATGGTTTGGGTGGGATGAGAGCTGATCCCACATTTAACAAGTTCCTRAAATATATTCTCAGATATTTGTCCACAAGTAGCTGCTCTTTCAGCTGTATGAAGAAAATCTAAACAACAGGACTAGTCATAATGTTATGGCTCATTCATTGAACATCACAAGGAGTTTGTTTCACTGATTTCCAAAACATTTATTAATTTAAAACTACATTTTGATTTGTCACAAGCTGTTTTATTTACAGAACAATTACAGTTTTTGGCACAAATAAAGAAACGTCTATAAATAAGAGAACATAGAAATACTCTGGTGTATCTTGAAATAAACAGTTTAACATGTTCAGATTTTAAACAGTTGTGACTGTCGGGTCATTTCACTCACAAATAATATTTTCTTTTAAAATCTTACAACATATTTTGTCACTTTGACATTTATCACTGTTTTTTATGTAAACGCAACTTTCCAGGTGTTTCTAGTATTAAAAGACTGCAGATGGCTTGAGGTTAATTAGTCTGAAGACACTTTAGAAATCCTTTTGTTTTTACCATTTTTTGTGTAAAAAGTGAATTTATAAAGAACTGTAAAGATTTGGCTAAAAGGCAATGATTTGAAGCAATATTCAAAGCAAAGTCAATCTGAATGTAAACAGATTTACATGAAAATGTGAACACACTGAAGAAATATTGGTCTGTTGCTTTGTGTCACACAAGGTGCATTTCAGGAGCCTCCCTGTTGAWGCCGTTCATCAGCCGAAACAAAAGGCCCAGTAAACATTTGTCACTTTACAGATTATTAATAACAATAATCTGAACATCAATAAAGTCAAGTTGACAGCTTTGCTGCACAGAAGAGTGGAACATTAAAGGGTCCAAAAAAAAAGGCTAAAATAAGTCTATTGCTTCCAGATTACCACCTAGTTTAATACTGTTGTGTGCTTCTTTAAATGTTCATCACATGCTACGTTTGACTAATATTACTCACTGTTAATGTGATTTATCCTGTTACTCTGTTTATTTTATCAGTGTGGGATTTTATTGTTAGCGGTCGTTAAATTTCATGTCACGGCTTAACGGGTTTAAGTTGAGCTCGACAAGTCTGCTCACATCAACTCAAAGAACATGCTTAGCATTTGCATCAAATTATTAAGTGCATTCTCATCAGTGCGTATTCTTCCTCTGTATGAGAGCATCTTCAKGAATGTTTTCATTACATTATGAAAGATCAAGCACTGAGCAGGAAACAGAAACATACATTTAGTGTTAACAGCCGTTATCACGAGTGTTTTGGTGGCGTTTCCCTTCAGAGGCAGTAGATATGTCCGTCTACCTCCATGGGTCAAAGCTGATGGGAGCAGTCCAAACTCAGTCTGAGGGTCAGCCTTAAATGTCAGTGCAGGCTGACTCCCGCAGTCGTAGACGGGCTCGGTCCGCTCACCGTGCTCGCCCGCCCATTTCCTCTCAGTCACTTGATGCGATGCCGCACCAGCGAGGACTCGTCTGTGATCTCCCCGGAGCGGTCCCTGCACCTGCAGGGCAGCACCAGCGCGAGCAGCAGGATGAAGAGGACCACGGCGCAGATCGCCATCAGGGCGTAGGAGATCGCCCAGAGGAGGGGCTCCTTGGACAATGTGCCGGAGCAGTCGGACGCCACRTCTGCTGCCGAGAAGGGTCCCGCGATCTCTGACAGAGCCACCTCGTCACTCACTGAGAAGAGAAATGAGACGAGCTGAAGCAGCAGCTGGRAGCTTTGTTTCAGTCACATGAAACCACAAACCCAGGGTCAGGAACAAACCTCMCATTTACACCTATAGAATACACTTTTTAGCAAGTGAATGAGAACAGCAAGTTCTTGGAAAATACAAACTGCTGGTTGTTCTAAACTGAAACAACTATTTGTTTGTGAGCAAAATCCTCACACCCTTTGTTAAAACTCAAATCCTTGGTCTTCCTGAAGCTCATCAATAGTTCTGTGTCTGAATTGTCAGTTTAAAAAATGAAGTTGGCAACCAAACCGTCACGAGCCGACAATTCTTTCCTCAAGCCTACATGGGCTTCGTACAGAACAAAAGTGAGCTTTGTATTTTCACACAACACTTTTCTGTTCAACTCATTTCTGATCCGATGCGACATAGTAACGTGTTTTCCTGTGTGAACAAAGTATGTCCGATCTTCATGAGGTAATGTACGATTCTGAATGGTTAGTTTAAGATTACWGCTGCTGGTTAGTGACCCTATAAGAACATTTTACTTTACAGTTCATTTACAGTTAATAAATCAATGAAGAGATTTTCATTGCTGGAATTATCCTCTTTGTTAAACATCTTAATCCTTCAGCAACATTTGCTCCAGTAGAGTCATGTTGCTGCTTCTTTACCCAGATAAAGCTGTTTCTTTTAAACAGACCTTGTGAAAAGTAAAACATTAACATTTCAAGAGTCAACAGGCTCTAAAGCAGTTTTGATGATTCCAACATAAATCAAGATATGGAGCCAGCCTTCTGTTTATCAGTTTAAAAGCAATTCTACCCCAAGAGAGAAATTGAAAATCCTTAAATTTATCCACACACCAGCCTACCCAGACAGATGGGTAAAAAGAATTATGTGTACAAACATCAAAACGCATCATGCCATGGCACACGCAGGTTTATYCATCAACACAATTTATTCATTTAATAATCACAACTTTATTTTTCCTCCCACAACAAACACATATTCAAAACAACAGCCTGATCAGAGAGAAAAGTCATGATGTTAAACAGCAGCTGGATACTAAACTCTGATGAAAGCATAACCTCGATGAATCAGTTCTAGTTTGGACTTCTAAGCTGCTCTTTATTCATTTGGTCACAAGATGTCGCCAAAGACAACTGGGTTGAGAAGCTCGAAGTAATAAACCCTTTTAYGAAACAATAGCCTATATGCCACGGACATCCGGCCCAGCACTGGATGCCGCTCCCAACACTTCCGTTAGCGGTCAACACAGTGTTAGCGAAAGATTTTTTTCACCCGACAGCGACTCTTAATGATCTCTACAGTACAGAACTAGCATATTACATGTACCAACATAAACACAGGAGACGTATAGGTCCAGCCAAGTGGAAAAAAAAACACTCCAAAGTGAATTAAAGCCATAAAAACAAAGGAAAGACGTTCGTGTTTATGGTTCCAGAATTTAGCCTTTTTCACTATTCTGTGGCTGCTTGTTCTATTAATTTTTCACGTAAAGCTGTGACACTTATATTGTTGGAAAGAGCAGAGTCTGGGCTTTAAATCAATGGGCTACTTGTATGGTTTGGATCGTTTTCCCCGACGTTAGTGAACTGAAAACGTAATGATTATCAGGCGGAGGTTCTGCTGCTCTCGGTGCTCGGGGGGAGGAGGGGGGGCGCTCGTCACTCGGCTTTAGTCTACGCTGTAATTTACACTCTAACAAGTTTTTACTTTTGCATAAAACTCATGACAAAGTCTCATAAAAACATTTCATATAACACAAACGCACGCGCACACCTACCTTCGTATCGGCTGCTGTGTTAGCTTCCTGCTAGCTGTTCTCTGGAGGAGGTCTTTCCTCTCCCGGTCTTGGCAGTAAAAGGGGACAAATGTACATTTCCCTTTTGTAACCTCCGTCTTCTCATTTCTGATGCTGACTCTYGAATATCCTCAGGTTAGAAATGCCGATTACAAACGCAAGTGTGAGCTTTTAAAGATAGGTTTTCCTTTTAATGCTATGATCATTGCTGTCACCTCCTCATCAAGAGGAAAAAGGATAAAAACTAACTACTCGATCGTATCTGCTGGTTAGTGGACACAACGGCACACAACAGAACTCACGTTTTATACCAGTAGCTCACAGATGCTTTAACTTTTGTAACTTTTTCACGGACTAGTACTAGGAGCTCACGCTAAAAACATAGGCAGTAAGCAGGGAGTGGAAGGAAGATGCGTGGCAAAAATTTTACCGGAAATACGTCATTAATGACCGTGGCATATAGGCTATTCTGCAATTTGAAAAGATACAAGAATTTTCAATATATGAATTGAATAACACTAAGTTCTGCTGCCATTTTGTTGTTGATCCTGCACTGATCTTGCCTCTTTGACGTTTTTGCCTGTATTTGAGAGTTATACTTGTTATCTTTTATTGTGCTAGGACCTGAGTATGATTCCTATCATGCACAAACTTGAATTGCGTTTTACCAATAAACAAGCCTAAAGTGTTTGCCTCTGTCAATGTCGAGTCTAGTTTCTGTTTTTATCAAATTTAATATTAGCATTTATGCTCAGGGTTGCTACAGTTTAAAGCAAATTAAATTTAAGACTTTTTAAGACTTGTTAATGCCAASTGAAATCACATTTAAGACCAATTACACAAAAAACAAAAAATGACAAAACTGTGGCAGAAACTCATGAATATTTTTGGTTGAATTATTCAAATACWGCTAATAGACCAATTGTTTTTAGCCATATCGAGCTGCTATTTTGTCAAATATAGCAAAAAATCATTCTCAGCAGTCAGTTTTAAACTTAATTTAAATCCTGGACATCCTCTAACGACCCAAATTTTGGAGTTTTATGACCCAGAGTGGGTTCTCAACCCCAACTTGCTGCAGATGAAATCTTAAAGTGAATGTGACATCAAATTTTTGTAAGAAATATGAATGCATTTTTGGAAAGACATTATTAACAAATTMGAAAATGAATTTCACATTGCTCAGCTAGACAGTTGTTGAGAGTTGTTGATATATTTGTATGTGAAATAACAGGAAGTGGTGCCAAAAGGGAACATCTGAATGGGAATATTTCAAAAATAAATAAATGTTACCAAATAGTTTAATTTTTGATACAAATTACAGTCATCTTACTTACGTGTTAACATTTTTAAGACTTCTGAAGATTGATTTAAGACATTTTAAGGCTAATTAAGGTCTTATTTTTGTCATGATGAATTCAAGGCCTTTTAAAGGCACAGTGTGTAGGATTTTGTCAATTCTTTTAGCC